TCCTTTTGCTATCCTTACACTACCCATATTTTCATTCTTACTTCCCCCCCCCCCCCCCCAACAACCCCCCAAATAGTAAAGGAGGGGGAAAAAAATAAAAATATATATACATATATATACACAGACACAAAAATATATAAACATAACTAGCTGGCTGCTTTTTCTTTATGTTATGCAACCACAACTCAGTGAAGTAGGCGACAACTGCTACTAAGGTCTGTCTTAAGGCATTGGCTCTCTAAGAAAAGGATTTCCTATCATTACATGGGTCCTCTAGAAGGACAAAATGGTTTGGGCTGACTAGGCCCAGTTTTTAAGGTGGATAACCCAAGTGACAATGAACATTGTGTTTTAAAACATGGCAAAAATGAATTAAAATTAAAAGCTGCAAAGACTGCTAACTATTCTGCTTGTTGGGGAACTTATATTGAAGTGCAGCACCATGATTCAAGAAAGTTACCCACTCTTCACATCAAAAAAAAGAAAAAGCATGTCTTTGCTAACCAATAGGATCTCTTGTCATGTTCTCCTTCTATTTTAACACAAAATGATCTTGGATATAAACTTACTTTAAGACGGGCATACAGTATCAGAAATAAAGGAATCCTAAGAGATTGCTACTTGTCTGGAGCAGCCGAGCAGGTCTTCGTGCAATCTAGTTTATACAATGTTACTCCAATAATAGTTTTGTCTTTTCTATTCTTACCTTGTTTCTTTTATTTTCTTTTTTATGACGGTGGTGTCCGGGCTAGCTTGCGCACATAAATTTCTTTTTTCTTTTACCTATTCAGTACGACAGATCCCATTACTAAACACCAAGTTAGTTTCAATCGTATGTAATACCTTGTTTTCTTCTTTTTAAGCTGTACAATAATATATACATATAAATTGCTACATGATGAAATTACTTGAACCAAGACCCACCCATGTCTTGCATAAGTTTAAGTTTATAGCGATCATGAACCCTGAAACAAGTCTGTATTTATCTCACTCTTTCCGAAGAGTGGCAAAATTATGGGTGAAAGAAATATGGTGCTCATGAAGACTTCAAATTTCAAGACCAAATAAGAAATTTATTTCTTACTGTTTTCCTCGTCTTCATCTTCGTTGCCATTATCCAAATCATCGCAAAAAGATAGCCGAGGGTCAGCCTTTATCTTCCTCTTTTTAAGCTTTTGTAACTGAAGCTCTTCCTCCCTGTGACAGAAGAATCACTCCACATTCCACAAATTAAACATACATCACAAAAGAACTCATACATATTGCACTCTTTCAGCTTCGCAAGACTGCCACCGAAGTAGGAAATACACTCACTCTTGTTGCAATTTCTGAAGCTTCTCCTTTTCTTCCTCTTCGAGCTTGGTTTTAATAGTGACCCTCTATACATGATTCGAAATACAAGAGCAGTTAATTTCATCAAGAGATGAATTGCAAAGGAAAGAATCTTATATGCAAAGCGATCAACTCACCTTCTCAACATATTGCTCCCTTGTAACAAGACCAACAGTTTCCTTTTTAAAAGCAGTCTCGAGAATCTGGAAAAAAAAATCGGTATAGGCAACAATGTCTGGAAAACATATCCACTTGTCTATTCAGTGAGTCCACAACTGACTAAAAAAACATAATTACAACTCCTCCTTACAACAACAGAAGGAACATGTGTAATTACTAATTAGCTACAATCAAAGGCTGAAATAAGCTCAGGTGTGACAAAAGTCCATAAATCTTCTAAGTTACATTTCAATAAATATCAATAAATCAACTAGGCCTTAATCCCACACAACTAGTTGAGGACGACTATATGAATCATTTGTATCCATTCTGCTCTGTTGGGGCAATTTCATACCAAGTTAGTTCTCCACTCTATTTGGGCGCATTGTATACAGAACAATTTACGTTTGCATATCAGTTAAAATAAATAAATACAACTAAATAAAGGAATGAGCTTTATATGCAAGTGTAATTGAAACCTCGGATGTACTGGACCCGAATTGAAGAAGACCAGGTTGGCCTTTAGATGAAGCAGTCTTATTCTTGAGCTCCTGAATTTTTCGCCTCTCTGCTTCTCTCTGCTTTTCAAGCCGTCGGATTCTAACAGCGTCTTGGGCCGTACCCACGTACCCATCTCCCATGCCCGACATGTCTCCTTAAATTCTTCTTCTAGGGCACAAAGATTTGAACTTGAAACAATGGATTGATGATTTTTGGGCAACCTCTGCGTATGCAAATATTAAAACGTTGTGAACGGGAAGTTGGGGCGTGAGCCGGTTCACAGTCGGGAAAACCCACGGCAACCAAAACTAGAAGTGTCAAAACCTAAGTATTGGTTAATTACAAAGATCAACCTGAAGGTTCTTCTCAATGTCGGTTACCTCACCCATAGTTTTAAATGTTGCGGAAATCTCTCACGTTTTCTAATAAGTTTTAGCTCCTTTGCTTTTTTAAAAAAAAAATTCCCCCTACATAAAATCATAAATTCTCCAACTTTCCATTTAATTTGGTGAAAAGGCATTGCAAGAGGTGATATTGAGTGATAGCAAATTCTCGAGTTTTTGGTAGGCGTTTGGACATTGGGTTGAAGTTACAAAAAAATGATGTTAAAGTTAAGGATGAGTATTTGGAAAGTTTAAATTATAAATTTTATTTAAAATTTGAAGTTTCTTAAAAAGAATTATTTGTTTGAGTGAATTACTCTTTAAAACAATTTTTTAAATATTTTATCAGAGTTTAATATTTGCAAATATTCATTGGCCAAACTTATAAATTGAACTTCAATATTTTATTAATACTAAATTTTAATAAATTTATATATTAAAATATTATTTATGGCCACACAAAACCATATTTCCTTTTAACGTACAAAATATTTTCTTTAATTTTTTTTACTCACGTGGTAAACTGAAAGGAAAAATATTAATAAATTATACTTATGAGATTTAAATGATCCACTCTATAACATAAAAGTTCTCGCCCATTGTGTCGACTCTCAACTTGATTTCTATCTCTTTTTATCGAACTTAACTTTAGAAATTTAGAATTATTTTGATGATTTTAAATATAATACTCTATAAGGTTGGAGGCAAATGTTCATTTTATCTTTGTATACCAAATAAAATAATCACTATAAGAATATTATTTTCAACATGTTTTGCAAACTTTTGTCATAATTGTATTGTTGAATATAAAGAAAATTACTTATAGCCCCACATTTCTCTTGTTCAAGTACTAAATAAGTTTACAATTTAATTCTTTCTTAAGATATATCTAAACCCAATTTGGACATTGTCAAACGTAAGAGAGAATCAAGAAGGTTAAAAAAGCAAAGAAAACCAAGTCAAATGCGAATACTCCAAAGAGTTTTGTACACAAGGATGCAACTTGGAGAAAGTTGAGTGGCGGATTTTATATTTTCAAGAAAGAAGTTGAAAACGAAAGGGAAAAGAAAATATTAAAAAAAGAGGAAGTTGAAGGAAAAGATAACGGATAAAGTGAAGGTGGAATCTCGCATCGGAAAGCACTGCGAAAAAAATTCAGTGCATAAATTGTTGTTCATCGACTTCAAAACCCTAGATTCATCATTCAATTCGCAGTGGTAAACTCAGAAGATGGATCAATTGAACAACGGCGCGATGTATCAATCAAATTACCTTTCAAATCATTGTTTAGCAGAGTTAAATCAGCTGCCTTCTGATGTTGCCATACCTCCTAATGGCTTCCATTCTGAATCCAGGTTTACAAAAAAAATTCTTCGTAATTACAGCTCACTTTTGGTGTTATAGTGTGTCTATTGCTGTATCGGAGATTAAACAGGAAACACATAGTTATGCGATTGCATTTAACTATGCTGCTTCAATTATCATCTGTTAGAAGTTCAAAATCTCAAAAAATTGATAAAATGAATCGAGAAATTTGAATACAGAGCCAAATATAATTAATCACGATTGTAATTGACTGAGATCTGTATCTCATTTCAAAGTATTTTCATATTTTCTGGTAGAGAAAGCTGATACAATAGTTATGCCACGCTTAAACTGGTGAAGGGTGAAATCCTTAAGCTTGCATGGTATCAAAAGGTGTGGTTGTGCTTCGTTCAGTGGGTAGTGGGATTCTCCAGTGCAAATTATGGTAGGACTTTGAGTTAAAATACTTGCTTTTGAGTTTGTTTCGGGGTTATATAAGAACATAGAAAAATCAAACAAAACGTGTGTGTGTGTGTNAGGGTACTCCTAGATTTTTTTTTGAGAAAGTAAGTAGATTATATATTGAAAATGCAACAACTTAGCACCAAGTTGGTGCTAAGGCAGTATAAGAGTCCGCAATTCTTCTTTATGAAGAAAAAAAAAACTCATAGGAAGTGTGAACTTAAACAATAGTCATGACTCGGATGTGGCCTAGTAGTCAATAAAGTAGAAGAATAACCATGAGGTCTTTGATTCAAATCTCAGCGGAGTCAAAATTATTAGGTGATTTCTTCTCATCTGCTTTAGTATTGGTTGGCGGAGTTACTCGGTACTTGTGTTGGTGGGAGGTATCAGGCACGGTACCAAACTTTAACTGTTTTACGAGTATTGACAGAACAAATGTGCACAAAAGGATGCTGTAATCAGACTAGCATAGTAGCATCTAGTTAGCTATTTAATTTTAAAAAAGCTAATTGAAATTTGACAAACATCTTTGGCTATATGTGGTACTAGAGATTTTCTTATATTTCCTTTTCCTTGGTCATATCACAGAGAAATAAATGTCTTTTTAATATGACTTCATTGTAGTTCTCGTGAACTAACTTGTTTTACTAATTCTTTTTTATGTGCAGCACTAAACAACAGCCAGAAGCAGAACTCAAAGACTCTTTGGCTGCAAGAAAAGTGCAGAAGGCAGATCGAGAAAAATTAAGGAGGGACCGCTTAAACGAGCAGTTCATGGAATTAGGAAAGACTCTTGGTAAATTAGCAAATCTTTGGTTGAACTACTAAGTTCTTGCTACGTTTTGTTTTCTCTGAGCCCATCGGCTCATTTGACTGCTGCATGTTATTTTACCTCATTGAGGCATGTTATACTTTCTTGTTGCAGCTGCACATTGACCTTTAATGTTCTTCTTGTTTTTGTATTTTGTTATGTTTTAGTTTTGAAGATATAATTACGTTTACAATTGGATAGTGCAATTGAATTACCATAAATTAGACATCTTGCAAGATCAACTCAGTATAGGCGCTTGCCTCTTTTGAATAGGGATAGCATTTGATTTTGGGAGTTGTATTTGATTCTGTGAATAGGTTAATCATATCCTGAAATTTGAAGAGCCAATGTTTTTATTAAATTTACTGTAGGCTCCATTTTGTATGCTGATAAGATAATATGGTGCTCAATTGTAATACAAGGATTAAAAATACATGAATTATGAACTGAGAAACACTAGGATTATAGTCAAGTTTTTTGTTGATTATGCAAAAATGTGGTTCAAATACTATGTTTTTGCCATTTGATTACTTTATTCTTGTCTCAAATTTAGCCTTAAATTTCTCTCTTTCACATTGTAAGGGGGTTAAAGTCATTTGAAGTCCTTATACTGCGTGTTAACAGCACCACCTGTTCATTGGTATTGGATAATACAGAGTATGATGTTTTTTAGTACGCCAATTATTAATAAAGAGTGCCAAAGGGCGTGCCAAACACCGGAATATCTAATACAATGCCCAACACAATCTTTAAATGGAGTACCAAATGACCTCTTAGAGTCTGATGGAAGAAAGAAAAAGAAATGACCCCTTAGGGGTCGTTTGTTTCAGTTGTGGGATATCCCATGGGATTAAAATTTTGGGATATCTCATGAAATTATCTATTCCACCTCTTATACGGGATAACTAATACCACCATTTTTGTATAAGATCTATATGAGTATTAGCTAATACCCACAACCAAACGTGGGATACTATAAGCCCCAAATTTTATACCGGGATTAATATTCTTATCCCGGTAATCAAACGACCCCGTAGAGTTAGTATTTGTGCACAATCTATATATACTTTCCTTTAGGATAAAACCGATGGGCTTTACGGAATAATAGGTTTAACCATGTCTTATTCATTCAAAGATTTGATACACAGATCCTGATAGGCCTAAAAATGACAAAGCATCCATCCTTAGTGATACCGTTCAAATGCTGAAGGATTTGACTGCTCAGGTTAGCAGACTAAAATCTGAGTATGCTGCACTTACTGATGAAAGCCGTGAGGTGATCTCTTGACACTTTCTGAAAGTAATGTTCTTCTCTCTCATTTCATAGACATAGAAGATCTTATTTTTTCTTTTTCCTCAAGCAGCTGACCCAGGAGAAGAATGATCTTAGAGAAGAGAAGGCATCTCTTAAATCTGATATTGAGAGCCTTAATGCCCAATATCAACAAAGAGTAAGGACTATGTATCCATGGGCCGGGATGGATCATTCCATGGTCATGCATCCACCTTCATATTCGTATCCGATGCCTGTTCCGGTTCCAGCTGGACCAGTTCCAATGCATCCATCTCTGCAGCCCTATCCTTTCTTCAGCAATCAAAATCCTGCAGTTGTTCCAAACCCCTGTTCATCTTTTCTTCAATACATGACTCCCAATACGTTAATTGAACAGCAATCGGCTCAGTATATGTCTCCGATAATCCAACCTGGTAGTATGACCAGACAAGACTCTAGAAATAAGTCATCAGATCAAGGAGAGAGCAGGATTGACAAAAGTGAAGATTCCAATGAAGTGGCAACAGATTTAGAGCTCAAGACACCTGGATCTGCATCTGATCAGGTTGGTTAGGACTGCTGATTTACTTGGCCTACTTTCCCTTTAAGGAATCCCAATTTATTTGACCTGTTTCTTAAATGGCCAAATATTTTATTACTTGTGGTAACTGGCACCAAGTAGCTGATGTGATATGTAAATTACAAAATGCAAAAACTCAGTTCCTTTCCTGCGCATGCAATGAAATGAGGAAATCTATCAAGCTATTCAACTACTCTTATTTTACTCTAGAGTTGCCTCAATTTCACTTCTAAAAAACTTCACTTTTATATGCTTCAACTAGCCTATTAAGCATAGCTTTTACTTTCTCCGTTATGATGATATCCGTCACCCTTCAAGCTTTCTTTTCTTAATCTATTGATGGTGAAAGAGAATTCAGTAAGATAGGAGCACAGGAAATCTTCTATGGCCTAAAGGCACTTTGGCAAATTAAATATATCATCATGACATGCTTGCAAATTTTGCAGGACCTTTCATCTGGACAAAGGAAATCCAAAAGGATGTCAAAGAAGGATAACAGCCTCACAGATGGAAGTTCGTCTAGTAGATGTTCGTCATCCCATAGTGTACAGGCCATTTCTTCAAATAGTGTAGTTAGGGGAACAAAGACAGATGATTGACATTTGGGACAGAGTGGAATCAGGTTATTACCATTTTTATTACTTCTCTTTGGTCTGCTCCATCTGTTTTATCAAAAGGTTTACAATACAGAGTGAGGAAGCTGTTGCTGGTGCAATGGGTTCTGAATTTGGATTTCTCTTTTTATTTCCCTAACAGTTCTAAGGGGGTTGTGACATGGATGCTAGCGCTGTTGTTTCTGGAAAATAATATCGAATCTAGCTCTAGTGTCCATGAAAGTACTGGTGTTACATAATGCCAGAAAATTCACCATCATTCTTCGCCTTGCATACCTAATCTTTACACCTCTAAGATCTTGTATCCTTTCCGAGTGTGAATGTGATTTTCTGAATTTTGGTGAAATAAGCAGGTTTATCTGACTGAGGTATGTCTTTGAATTAAGGCCTCTCGTCAATGCCAAGTTCTCTGGAATTTTTAGTTAACCGCATACTTCAAGGCCACAATGCACGATAGAAGTATAAAATATGTTTTCCGTCATGATCAGTACGAAAGATCCCTACTTTTCCTGCAAATGTGAAGGATTCATCATTGAGTTTATCTGAACTACCATTGGATTGTATGGGATCTTTCACTATTGCCGGCAGCTTTTGCTGACGTGGTAAAATATATACTTTCTCCGTTTCAAATTAGACGAATTACTTTTCTTTTTAGTTTGTTTCAAAATAAATGACACATTTCTAAATTTGAAAATAATTCAATTTTAAACTCTTCATTTTATCCATTTTACCCTTAATGTGAAGCTTTTATAACCACACAAATGTCATGGTCCCACAAAGCTTTTATTCCTTGAGCTTTTAAAAACACAAGTTTCAAAAGTCTTCTTCTTTTTTCTTAAACTTCGTACCGAGTCAAAGTAGCTCATCTAAAATAATAAAACAGAGTGATTACTTCTTTTATCATTTTATGCAAAAAAAATTTCCCAGCGGAGTGTAAAATGGTCCCAAAGCATCTGGTTCTTCTGTTGAGTCTCGGAGATGAACACACAATTATATTCTGTTTAGCCAAACTTCTAAAATCTACTTATTTTGAGAAGTGTTTTTTTCAAAAGTACTTTTCAAACAATTACTTTTGATGAGAATCGATTTTTATGTGGCGAATTAATTTGATAAACACTTTTGAACAGTAATTAGTGTTTGGCCAAGTTTTTGAAAACTGTTTCTAAGTGTATTTTTTTCAAAAGTGTTTCTCATAAAAGTGCTTGTTTCTGCTTCTCCTCAAAAATACTTTTTTTTTTCAGAAAAAAAAGAAGCACTTTTGGTAAAAAAAAAAAAAAATTGACCAAACAGAGTATTATTCAATTGCTAATTGGGTGGTAAAGTTCGTGATAATTAAGCTGGTTTCAACTCTAGTAATTTTGAATTCACCTATAAGTTGCTAATGGGACATTGGCTGCGTATGAGTTGCTAAACGAACCAGAGGGGATAGATAAGAGGTCTTTTCTTTCTAGGTTGCAACCATAGAGACACTGACACGTGGCAATAATTGAGTCCGAACCATGGAAAAAATATCCATGAGAAAAAGAAAAAAGAAGTTAATGAGTTATCACGGAGAATCCGCCCGTCAACTTGTGGTTAGGCATAGATAACGACGACTTTCTGTTTGGTGTCATTTTTAAGTTTTAACCACCGCATTGTGACACCAGAAGCACGCTCAAGTGTAGTTTGATCTCTTTCCGGCAAATATAAGGTTACCGCCCATTGTGCGGGATTGGATTTCACATCCCAAGTGCAGAGTTTTAAATCTTTTTATTTTATCATTCAGGATTCGATAAGTGTTTGACAAGCTCGATTAATTCAAATTTACGTACAACAACAATAATATACCCAGTATAATCTTATAAGTGGAGTCTTGAGAGGGTAGTGTATACGCAAAATTTATCCTACTCGGAGAGATAGAGAGACTGTTTCCAATAACACTCGGCTCAAGATAAGGTGGAAAGGAAGAAAAGGAAGAAAAAAAAGAAGAAGAAAGAGGGGGGAGAAAGAAACACGAGGGAGACAAAAGACGATAAGGAAAAAGAGGAGAAAAAGTAGCATCATATACTAACCAAGACCGACTCTAACAGTATGGTGGGTAAGTCATCTGCCTTAGACCTCCAATTTTGAGGGGCCCCATTTTTCAGAAATAATATATATTTTATAGGTATTTAAAAAAATAATATGTAGTAATTTTGAAATAGACAAGCAATAACTAGATATTTTGGACTCAAAGTTTTCATTCTTCAAATTTTCTGAATAAGCAATTGGGTAATATCTTTCTAGTATTATTTTTATTTGGTATTTGATATTTCATTAATTTTATTCCATACATATCATTTAAGTTTTTTTTAAAAATTTAAATACTTAGGCCTCACATTTGACTTTGGACTTGGGCCTCAAATGTCCTTAAGCCGCCCCTGATACTAACATATTATGGAACAATAATTTTCGATAAGAAAAAGAAAGAGTAGCATCAAATAGTAACAATCAGATAGCAATAATTTTCGGTAACAATTTTCAAATCTATGTCCGGTTCATAAGTGCAAATCATGTGAAAGGCTTCACTTTCAACTAACACTTGTCGATCATTTGTCGATTCACCAAATTCATTAGACTATTGTATTGAATTAGCTATAAGCGAAATATATGGAACGCTTGATTCTTAGTAAAAATAGAATTAGTAATACGGTAACTATAGAATAACTGGCGCATAACATTTATGCATGTGGTAAGACACTCCTGTTACTAATTGATAAGTTAGAAGTTTGAGCAAATTGAATGAATGGTAAGTATAAATTATTAGTGATTCTTTAGGATACGTGAAGTGAAAAAATAATTACTCTCTTTGGTCCATAACAAGTGACTAATTTGTTTTTTTATTTTGGTTCAAAATAAATGTTCATTTATATAATCAAAAAAAAATTCAATTTGTTTTTCTAAAATTACCCTTATTTATGTATCCCTAAAAAGTCTTTTACTCCCCACATTAACTATGCTACAACATTTAATTAAGGGTAATTTAGTCACACTACCTATTTTTATCTAAAATTTTGTATTTCCATAATAGGTGTGCCCAAAGCAAATTGATCACTTATTGTGGACCGGAGGGAGTATACTTGGTGTTTTTTTCTTCTTATGCAAATTAGGGCATTCATTGTATTAAAAATTATAATCAATTGTTATCTTCAATAGCTTTTTCTCAAGTGTTTACTAGTTACTATAATCTGAAACTATTGAATTTGTTATCTAGAACGTGATTTACTAATTAATACATCTCCACACTAGATGCAAATTGAGTACATACTACTTTAGTTAAGTATTACTAGCAGTAATCTTTTTTCTTTTTCTTTTTTTCTATATCTTTTTTTTTCCAAATCATCATTGGTTCCTCACCAACCTTAATGAGAAACAGAAGAAAAATCTCACCACCCCTTATTTTTTTCTGGCAAATGGCCAAATATACCTATATGCTTTCGAAAAAGGTATAAAAATACCTCTCATTATACTATTGGGCTATATATACCCTTCCTGTCATACTTTGAAATAAATATACCCTTAGTTTGGATGAAGTGTTACGTGACAGCACCAGATGAAAACGACCAATTTCTTTTTTTTACTCGATCCGTTTTTAAAAACCCACCACCCGACCCATTTTAAAATTTAATTTTTTCATTTTTTTAAAGTATATATTTTGTAAAAGCTGGATTTTTTTGTTGTAAAAACTGGAAAAAAAAAAGAATTTGCAATATATATATATTAAGTCTTTTTAATTTTTTTAATGGTATTGTTTTTTAAAAATTGAAAATAAAAATATTTTTTTTGTAAAAACTGGAAAAAAAAAGACTCTCCTAAAGCAGTGGAATACATATGTATTAGTTTTAAAAAAATAAAAATATTTTGTAATTTTTTTTTTCCAGTTTTTACAAAAAAATATTTTTAAAAACTGAAATAACTGAAAAATATATATTTTGCAAATTCTTTTTTTTTCTTTTCAGTTTTTACAAAATATATATTTTTTAATTTTAAAGCATTTTTAAAAAAAGTATTTTTTTTGTAAAACTGAAAAAAAAAAAGAATTTTCAATATATATATTTTTTAGTTTTTTCAATTTTTAAAGTATTTTTTTGTAAAAACAAAAAAAAAAAATTTGCAAAATATTTTATTTTTTTAAAACTAATACATATGTATTCCACTGTTTTTGGAGAGTTTTGTTTTTCTAGTTTTTACAATTTGTTTTTTCAATTTTTACAAAAATAATACTTAAAAAAAATTGAAAAGACTTAAAAATATATATTTTATATTTTTTTTTTTCAGTTTTACAATTTTTTTTTACAGTTTTTACAAACTATATGCTTTAAAAAACTGAAAAAATTGAATTTTAAAATAGGTCGGGTGATGTGTTTTTTAAAACGGATTGGGTAAAAAAAATGTGTCATTTTCATCTGGTGCTGCTACGTGGCACTCCATCCAAAATAAGGGTATATTTGTTCCAAAGTATAAGGGGAAGGGTATATATAACCTAATAGTATAAGGAGAGTGTTTTTAGACCATTTTTCGAAAGTATATGGTTATATTTGGCCTTTGCCGTATTTTTATTGGGTTCAACGTGTTCTCCACGCTCCGAAATACGAGTGTGCACCAAACAAAGTGATTACATAAATAGATATTGGGAACACCGGCACCTTTGTTAAGGCGCAGAAGAAGTAGCAGAAGAAACTGCCGCTAAAACAGTACAATATCAGTAGCTGTTGTTGTAGTCCAGAAAATGGCGGTAGCATCAACATCTCTAGCTTCTCAAATATCCGGCCCAAAATCTGCCACTTCTTCCATTTCATGCCCCCAGTTCTCTGGCCTCCGTAAATCTTTCTCCAAGTTTGAAAACTCTGTTTCCTTCTCCACTTCTCAAGCTTTTTTCCATAACGTGGACTCTCAACTCCGCCTTTCTTCAGCCCAAAGAGGTTGTAGGGCTGTCGTCACCATGGCCGGCTCCGGCAAG